ACGCACATGGAGTCCTGGTATGGCACCAAAGGATAAGCAATGGACTGCTAATCAGCCACTCCTTGGAAACCATATAAAGCGTTACTATGAGTCAGATCCAACTCAAAGGCACTTAACAACAACAAGGCTAAACAAAGTAGTCCTGAGATACACTAGGTTAAGCCTTGGGCTGGTAATCAGAAGTCAAGTGCTTCAAATACACCAGATGCACAACCAGAGAAAGATGAGGCAGATTTAATATCTGAAACTCAAAGGAACAGTTCTACTCTGTCCTGTAGGCTTGCTATGAGTTATAATCAACTCAAAAGAAGAGGGTATGGTTCGGTTTGGTAAGGCCACACAATTAGTGGCAACGTGACTTCAAAGTCGGTGCTTTTAATCCAAATTCACAAGGCGATAAAACTTGGATTCTCATTTGACCAATGAAAATGTAGACAAGGCAAAACTATATAAAAGAACACTGGTGCCAGATGTAGAAAACCCAGATTCCAGTCTAGGTTCTGCCACTTTGATCAGCTCACTTCTCTTCTGCAGATCTAAATTTTCCACCTTCGTAAATTAAGAAGCTCTGGTAGCGTAGTAGCTACGAATCAGGCTGCGAACCACAAGGTCAGCAGTTCAAAAGATGAGGTGTTCTGCTCCCGTAAAAATTTACAGCCTCGGAAACCCTGTACAGAGTCACTATGAGTCGGAACCGACTCCACAGCACATAACAACAACAAAATTAAGAAAAGATTTTAATACAAATATGAATGGAAAGTTAAATAGAAGACAATTAACATTTTTGCCAGGATCTGAGTTGTTGTTGGTAAGTGTCGTGGAGTCGGTTCTGACTTACAGTGACCTTGTACAGGATTTCTGAGTCTATAAATCTTCACAGAAGCAGAAAGCCTCATATTTCTCCCCTGGAGTTTGAACTGCTAACCTCATGGTTAGACCGGTGGTTATCCTACAGTGCCACCAGCACTCCAGGAAATGAGTAAGAGATGTGTTATATACACATTATTTCAAGTTCAAACCAAACTTGACAGAAGAAAAACTTACCACTTTTCTTATCACTGAAGAAAAACTGAGGCTCTACGTGGTAAGATTTGTAATGACCCAACAAATGTGGAAATCATCGAAATGCGGAAATCATCGGACAATATCACTGAAATCCCATGCGAGTCAAATTTCACTAAAGATAATTAAAAAATGACTGCAACCATACATTGACAGAGAACTTCCAGAGATTCTAGATGGATTCAAAAGAGGGCATGGAGCAAGGGATATCATTTCTTATGTGAGATGGATCTTGACTGAAAGCAGAGAATACCAGAAAGATGCTTACTTGTGTTTTATGGACTTCGCAAAGGCTTTCTACAACGTTGCGAAGAATGAGTATTCTGGAACACTTTAATTGTGCTCATGAGGAACCTGTACGTAGACCAAGAGGCATTTGTTCGAATAGAACAAGGCAACACTAAATGGCTTAAAATTAGGAAAGGTGTGTACCAGGGTTGTATCCTTTCACCATACTTATATAATTGGTATGCTGAGCAAATAATCCGAGAAGCTGTATATAAAAAAAACAAAAAACAAACATGGCATCAGAAATGGAAGAAGACTCATAATAACCTGTGATATGCAGATGATAGAAAGTTGCTTGCTGAAAGCAAAGAGGACTTAAAATACTTACTGATGAAGATCAAAGGCCACAACCTTCAGTATGGGTTTCATCTCAATGTAAAGAAAACAACTCTCCTCACCACCGGACCAATAAACAACATTCATAAAAATGGAGAGACGAATGAAGTTGCCAAAGACTTCATTTGGCTCAGATCAACCATCAACACTCATGGAAGAAGCAGTCAAGAAATCAAATAAAGATACTGCATTAGGCAAAACTGCTGCACAAGACCTCTTTAAGGTGTTCAAGAAGAAAGATGTCAGTTTGAGGACTAAGGTGCATCTAAACTAAGCCATTGAATTTTCACTAACTTCATATGCATGTGAAAGTTGGACGGTGCATAAGGAATCCGATAGAAAAATTGATGCATTTGAGTTACGGTGTTGGAGGAGAATATTGAAAGAACCATGGACTGCTTGAAGAACAAATAAATCTGTGCTGGAAGAAGTACAGCCAGAATGATCCTTGGAAATCAGGATGGTCAGACTTCATCACTCATAGTTTGGGTATATTGTAGGAGGGACCAGTCCCTGGAGAAAGATAAAATGCTTTGTAAAGTGGAGGGTCAGTGAAAAAGAGAAAGATCAGTGCAGTGGACTGACACTGTGGCAGTAACAACGGGGTGTAGTAACGACTGTGTGTTTGGTGCAGGACTGGGCAGTGTTTCATTCTGTTGGACACAGGGTTGCTATGAGCGGTACCGACTTGATGCCACCAGACAGGAACAATGAAGAGTAGTTATGTGTTGGATCTGGAGTTTGAATTTAAGCCTATGTGAAAGAAGCTTTCCTTTATCACCATCTCTCAAATGGAACCTTATTTAGAATTTCCATCACAGTTCTACTTTGGCTAAATTGGGATATCATTGTATTCACTTCGTGTGATGCATGAATTATAAATTACATCTTATAAAGTCCGAGTGATCCACGTTTGCTTCTTTTCCCCTATTTGTAGTGAAATGGGGGTAGATATGGCCAAACAAGTTTATTCAGAGGAAATAATCAAGTGTCTTTTTTCACAATGTGATAACAATCTATGCACCTTAGCAGTCAAATGCCCTATGATTCAATTAGTGTTTAGCATCAGATGTACAGGAAGAAAAACTACACTTTCACAACCCACAATGACATTATCTCAGTAATTGTGTTAGACCAGAAATCAGTTTGTACAGTCAGAGAAATCATAAGATTATATTTCAGGGCCAGCATAGAACAATCTATGTTTTTCCATTGCTGTCATAAAGTATATTGAGTAAATGTTACTTACGTAATCAACTTTTGTTTTTTAATAGTGATCTGATAAAACTATACTTCAATCCAAAATATCACTAAGAAAAAAACATAAACTACATTTATCTTATTACTTCAAGGATTACAAAGAACTTCATCTCATCATTTTTACTTGTTAATCAAGGGAGCACTCTGTGGTGATTGTAGTTAATTGACATCAAGTCAGTTCCTGTATAGTTTCCAAGGAGCAGCTTGTGGGTCTGAACTGCCAACCTTGTGGTTAAGAGTCTTGTGCTTATCCTACAGCACCACACCGCGACTTAGCCCTCTGTATTGGTAATTATATTTACGGAGTGTTTATGGTATGCCACGAGCTCTGGTAGCGTAGTGGTTACGAATCGGGCTGCGAACCTTAAGGTCTGTGGTTCGAAACTACCAGGCGCTCCGCGGGAGAAAGATGAGGCTTTCTACTCCCGTAAAGATTTACACCCTCGGAAACTCTGTACAGGGTCGCTATGGGTCGGAACCGACTCGATGGCACTTAACAACAACAACAACAACGTAGCATAATTAAGAAAACCAAGTATTAGGAAGCTTCGGAGTCAAGAATGAAAGTCATCTAGTGGATACCTGAGCCACTATGTTAAGTTGTTGTTGTTAAGTGCCGTCGAGGGGGGTTCTGACCCATAGCGACCCTGAACAGGGTTTCCGAGGCTGTAAATCTTTACGGGAGCAGAAAGCCTCATCTTTCTCCCGCGGAGCAGCTGGTAGTTTCGAACTGCTGACCTTGTGGTTCGCAACCCGATTCGTAACCACTACGCTACCAGAGCCACGATAGTGCTTAGAAACTAGGACGTATTCCCATTTTAGAGACAAAAAAGGAGGAAGAGGTTTAGAATCCTAACAAGTTTCAGTGAATAACTGGAACATTTAGGATTCAGTTCCTGCTGTTCTAGCATAACTCACTGTATGTTCTATCAACTATGCGTCTCTCTCATATTACATCTGTATACAACTTCCCAGATTACAAACAATATCACATTAAAATCTGCAATGATCCTGTGAGGGAGGCACTATTTCCAATTTACAGATACAGGGAATGATCACAAGAGATTGGGAAATTAGACATTGGCATTTTTAGAGAACTAGAATTTAAATTTTGCCTTGATATCTTGCTCAGTTCAATTTAAAATTCCTATGTGGTGCTCCAGAGTAAGCACTGGACTGCTAACCACAAGGTGGACGGTTCAAACTCAATAGCCACTTCTCGGATATCCTATACAAGGTTGCTACTGAGACATAAGTAGAAACCCACTGGACAGCAGCACTAACATAGAAGGGGCTCCATAGGATAAACACTGGACTGCTAACCACACCGTATAGATTTACAGCCTGGGACCCCCCTATACAGGATTACTAAGAGTTGGAGCAGATTCTAGGCACTAAACATGGTCAAATTCAATCTTTAGTAAATTACTATCTTTGATCACCTTACTTCTAAAACACGTTTACTTCCAACACGTCTTGAAGCAATTTGTATTCTGATTTATATTACAATTTTCATGAGTAATTTATTTCACTTGTATATTGTCTATTGGGATTGTCCTAGTCTACCTTGTGTGTCGTAGTCACTCAGCAAATAACCAGACTGAATACACACACAGGTTAGATATTGGAGAGACGACGAAAGCCAACTGTAAGCCCTGGATAATGTACAGAGGTTTGGTGTCCAGTGCTCGGACACTCGAGGCAGTGCCGTTCTAGCCACCTGTCCCTCTGTCCTTTCCGATACAAAAGCCATTCCAATGAATGAAATAGAAATGGAAGGGTCCAAGTAAATCGAAGGATAGGGATAGTGCAATATGGGGGAAGTAGAAGTAAAGGGCCAAGGACCTGGAACTGGAGTGCTGGGGCGACAGGGCTATGGGGTGCCCCGGGGTGGAATCATCTCGAGTCAAATAAAGGGGTAGGATGGGGAAAGTAGTGGAGATCGGCTTTTTGAGAGAAAATGACAGATCTCTTCGGACGACCAACACGGGCGGAGGTTGGTCCCGTAACTGCCCGCAACCCCTGCCCAGGCCCGGACAAAGCGAGTCACTCACCCCGGCGCCAGGCTTTGGAGGGCTGCCCCAGGGCCGCCTACTTTCGAGTCCCGTGTGTGGAAACGGATCGAAATTAAACCGGGTCGCTAGGGGTCACCAAGGGCTTCCGGTTTCCTCGAAAACACTGCTGCTTCCCCAGCGAATGCAGCTGCTTCGGCAGCGCCAAAGAAGGATTTCCATTTCTTCGCCTCAACTGCACCAGGTCCGGACCGGCGCGGCCCTACCCCTCAGGGGCCCGGGAAGTTATGGAGAGAAGGGCGTGCCGAGGAAGGAGGGACCGAGCCACCACCGAAGAAGGCCGGTTACCCAACAACGCACGCGCGAGACCCGGGCCCACTGCAGCTGGCCTAATCAGGGCCTGCGTGGGTTGGCCGTCGCGTTGCTAGCCAAGGAGCTGAAGCAATGTCTAGCGGGGGTTGGAAGGGAAGATGCATAGCGCATGAACAGAAAACGGGCTTCCGCTATCCGCAAGCTGAGGGTCAGAGTCCAGGGAGGAAGCCGGAAATCAGGCCCAAGGGAACTGGGAGGGCCTCGCTAAGCGTGAGGCTGGCGGGAAGATAGGCCTGTTGCACTACGTGTCCCGTGAGCCTCCGCGACGTGGCAGGGTTGGGCAGGGCTGGGCTGCTAGCGACGCGCGGAGGCGGAGGCGGAGCTCGGTAAGAGCGTTATTTCCCGGTTTGGCGGTTATTCCTTGGCCTTGCCTTTTGGCCGCCTACGGCCCTCTGACGCGTCCTTTTCCGTTTGCGTCCGCTTGGGGTTCCCGACTGTTTTCTGCGCGGTAGGTTTAGTGTCTCCGCTGAGCTCTGTCGCCTCTTTGTGGCCAAGTTACATGCTGTCTCTATCCTTAGAAGCCCGCTGCAAACACGCAGGTGATCATTCGAAGCATGAACTCGGTGAATTGCTTGAAGTCCCATAATTATTCGGCAGAAACTAAAACGTGGTTTCCAGTACACTACTCTTTTCTTTGGTTTTGTTTTTAAATGTGAAATTTGTGCAATTAAGCTCAAGGAAAACAGCTTTGGAGTTATCCTCCTTAGTTCCCACCATACTATGTTATTTCCAGATCATGGTCCTGACTAGTTGAAGTCTCAGCCAGATGGAACTCTTCAAACCATAGGTCTGTTTCTGGTTAAACAGACTAATAAAATAGTGGTGGTAATAGTTGTGTGCTTTAGCTTAGATTCCGACTCAGAGACTCACGACCCGCTCCTCGAAAACCTTATACAGGGGCTCTATGAGGCGGACTGATACACCAGCACTTAACAACAACTTTTTTTTTTAACCTGGAAATTTTCTACCAACTTGGTTGGATGTGTTTTAAATAACTTTAGCAAATAAATTATTAAAGAGCGCTTGTCAGCTTAGTAATAAGCACTGGATTGCTAACCACAGGGTCAGTGGTTCAAACGCACTTGTGCTCCTCGGAAACCAACTCTATGGCACTAAACAACAGTTTTATTATAATGTTCTGCAGAAGAAAAGATCTCTGAGAGGTCAATTAAAACATTCTTGGTGAGATTTTATAAGTAAAAGGAATGGTTATATTGTTAAAGTAGATAGCAGGAGCTCTGGTAGCATAGTGTTTTCGGGTCAGGCTGCTAACCTCAAGGTCAGCAGTTCATACCTACCAGCTATTCCGTGGAAGAAAGATGAGGTTTTCTGCGCCTGTAAAGATTTACAGCCTAGGAAACCCTGTATAGGGTCGCTATGAGTTGGAACCAACTCCTCGGTACATTAAAACAACAACAACAACAACAAAGATTTACAACCTCGGAAACTTTGAGTCAGAACCGACTTTACAGCACACCACCACTACTACCAAAGTAGATGACTGAAAGAGGATTTTTGGGTTGGAGTCCTGGTATGGCACCAGGGTAAGCACTGGACTGTTAACTGTAAATCAAACCCACCAGCCACTCCTATACAGCGACTATACTTAATAACTGAAACAGGCCGTTGGTATAAATGAGCACTAGTTCCAGTGGACCGGGGTGGGGGAAGAGCCTTAAGATTACACCCAAACCTGTTGCCGTAAAGCTGAATATGACTCAGTGATCCCTGTGGTTGTTAGTATGTGCCGTCGAGTCAGTTCCGAGTCATAGCGATCCTGTTCAGGGTTTTCGAGGCTGTAAATCTTTACGGGAGCAGAAAGCCTCATCTTTCTCCCGGCAAAACAGCTGGTAGTTTCGAACTGCTGACCTTGCGGTTCGCAGCCCGATTCGTAACCACGATCCCTGTAGAAAGTAAAATGTTTGAGGTCTCCTAAGTCATCAGAAGTAAAATCATCTAGTGTTAATTTTCAGAAGTGGAAATGCTTTATGTTTTTGAAACAATTAAAAATAATTTGAGAATTTATCAAAAGCAGGAAAATAATAGATATACATTAAACCCGTCTCCCACCAGCTGCTCCTCAGAAACTCTTTACAGGCTTGTTAAGAGTCAGAACCAATTGGATGGCACTTAACAACAACATCCCACTCTGCCCCCCGTACCTATTTAGCCTGTGTCTCTCCATATGTCTACACACAGAAAACTGTTATTTCAAGTTTATATATGATTAGTTATCTCCATCCCTTTTAGCCTTTGCATACCTCCCTGTGTCATCACCTGTCTTAATCATTCTTCTGCCAACTTCCCTTTTGTATATTACCCTCCTGCTTCTTATATATTGCCCTCCTCATCACCCAAGTTAACATGTGTTTTACTCTCTCTTCCCTCCCACTCATGGTACCCATTAAAGAACGTTTCCTTTAGCATGAAAACCTTTTTTGAGTTTTTACAGTAGTAGTATCATTTGTCCTTTTGTGATCAACTTACTTCACTCAGCATGAAGTCCTCTAGGTTCATCCCTGTAAATGAGGTGTTTTGCACAATTTTCTGCACTGTTCCATAGCATTCCATTGTGTATGTGTTCATTAAATTATTGATTTAGAGTAACATTGATGGACTTTTAGACTGTCAACATTTTTTGCTATTTGAATAATACTGTGATGAACACTGATGTGCATACATCTACTCTTGTCATGATCTTATTTCTCATGTAAATGTACCAAATAGAGGGATTGCTGGGTCATAGGTACTTCTATTTCCAATTTTCAAGGAAGCGCCACACCGTTTTCCACAGTGGTTGAACCATTTAACAGTCCAACCAGCAATGTAGGAGTGTCTCAGTCTCCATAGCGTTGTCAATATTTGTTGTTTTATGTTGTTTTGAAATTTGCTATTAATGCTGGTGGGAGCTTCCCCCCCCCCCTTTAATCATCATCATATTTTCTGTAGAAGCAATTGCAATCTGAAACTTTCAGAACAATTCACCGTACTTAAAAAAATACATTTGTTACAGAATGGTCATTTTGGACTTAATTGAACACTCTTGACTCCAAACACTTTAAAAAATATATCCTGTTTACAGAGAGTTATGGATGAACTATAAAAAGAGGGATACCACAACAGCTTCTCACCTTTTTCCATCTCCTTCCACCCCTTCACCCAGGTCAAAATATTTTTCATATGAGTCAGGGCTCCTCAGGGAGGGCTATTAACACTGGTTGTGGCCAGGTATACATTTTCATTGGAATGGATTGTTTTTCAAAGCAATGTCTAAAACAAGAACATGGGCCCTATCACAACCCCTAAATGTGGTTCACTCTCCTCTTATTTTTAGACAACCATTCATTTTTAGAGCTGCATCAAATTTTATTTTTATTTAATTAGGCAACATGTTTAAAAAATAGTGCTATATTTTTTACTGAGAGCTATGTTTATTATTTCTGAGCAGTGAAGAATATTTACAGTTAAAGCAAAAATACAATTTTTGAGAAAATGATATCAAATGAATCTCATTAGTGATTTAAATTATATATTAATTTAATTTCAAACCACTCCAAGGGTCTTTCCTGTGTTCATTGTTTCATTGTGAGTACTGTGCTTTTTGTGGATCCTCAGTAGACATGGCTCATTAGTTTCAGTAGAGCAGATAGATGTACGATGTGAGAACTGTTCAGTTGAAATAGCAGTGTCAATCTTTTCATGTTACATCAGCTTCATTATCATTTCATCTGTATTGTTGTCAAAGCATTCACCCTCACTTCCCAGATTAAGATCTTTGGGGCAGGAGAATGTTTAATGGCAGGGATAAATAGTAGTTTCAAAAATACTACCAAAAATGATTTGGTAGAAGCTATCTGTTTCTAACAAAGGTGTAAAAAACTTAACTAACCATGAAATTAGTAGAGAAGTTTTAGAGTAAAAGTATGTCCTTTATTTATGTTCTGTTTGAGGTAAGAGAAGTACAATTTTTTGCCAACCAGATTCCATACTTTAAAATCTGTCTGGAAAGTCTCTCTCTACCTTAAAATCTTTTCTTTCTGGTATGATGTTTAACTTCAAATTTCTAATATATATATATATATATTTTTTTTTTAGAAACTACTGAAAAGTCTAACACCTTATCATACATAATCTAAATCTTCTTTTCTTATTATACTTCATCAGTCTTCGCATATAAAACACACACACAGATCGTAAACTCTGTAACCAAAATCCATGTGCTACGTTTGTATGTGTCCAAACTTGTGTGTATCCTAAAGCAGCTATTTTTAAACAGGTCAGAGTAAATTCTTTACTCTTAACCTCAGGACTGCAAGGTCAGTGTGAGCCACAAGGTGGGCAATTCAAACCCACCACCCACTCCTGGGAAATCCTAAATGAGGTCGCTGTGAGTTGGAACTGACTTGACTGCACTTAACAACACAACTTCAAGAGTTACATGAAGGTTTTTCAAGGATAGGTGTGTAAGGATAGTGTTAATAGTATCAATTGTCAGATTATCAACTTGCAAGATTTTTGTTTTTCATAAAATTGATTTGGCTCGTAGTGTATATGGTTCAGTTATTTCCTGAACCAGGAAATTCATGTTCCCATTTCATTTTTGGTAATTGTCCCACACTCATTCTACAAATAAAGTTTTATTGTTAATCTGACCTTAGTCTTGATGGTGGTATTTAGAAAGTAATGACTCTAATGGCTGGGTAGGGAATTCTTTTGCAAGACTGGTCATTTCCTATTGCTTTCCAAAATAGTATGTTGTTGTTGTTAAGTGCCATCAAGTTGGTTCTGACCCATAGTGACTCTGTATAGGGTTTCCAAGGAGCAGCTGGTGAGCTTAAACCACTGACCTTACTGTT